GTCGGGGGCAGCGAGCGCCGGGGCCGCCGTCCGCCCGGGGCGCCGACCCCTCTGTCCGCCTGGGCACCGACGCCCCTACCTGGCAGGCGTCCGTCCCCTCGGAAATGGCTTCCACGAAGGCGGCCCGCGCCGCGGCGAGGACCGCGAGCAGGAGCAGAAGCTGCGGGAGCCGCGGGGTGAGGGACCAGGCCATGGCGGCAGGCCGGCAGGGGCGCGGAGGCCGAGCCGGGGAGGCAGGGGCGCGGAGGCTGGGCCCGCCGCCCGGGAGGCGCCTTTAACCCGCGCTGGGTCCACCCAGTCGCGTCACCGCGAGACCACGCCCACCTCACAGCCACGCCCCTGAGGAGCTGCAGGACGGGATTGGATCTCCGCCGCCAGCCCCGCCCGCGTGGCCCCGCCCCCGCGTGGCCCCGCCCCTCCAGAGGCCTTCAGCGCTTGGACCCCGGTGCGGCGCGGGCCGCCTTCAGAGGCGGGGACGGCGGGGCTGGGGCGGCACCTGCGTAACCCGGATCTCCGTCCCCGCTGTAGTCTGCCCCGCAGGAGCCTGCACGTCGGGGGTCCTCGTTCCCCAGTTCTTGGGTTGGGGACCAGCTGGCGCCATCCTCCGCGGGGGGGTGGGGGACGGCCCCAGGGCTGCTGCCGGCCTCCTGCGCGCCCGCTTCCCAGTCACGGGGACGCGGCGGGGTCCCCGCAGCAGAGCCCCGGAGGGCCCGGGCAGAGCGGGGACGCCCTCCAAGGCCGGCCGAGCCAGACCGTCGGTCCCGTGGAGAGGAGCCCGCGTCCCTGGGGCGCCCCGAGTGCGGGGCCTCTGGCCCCCCTTCTGGGTGGCCACCGGCTCTCCGGGCACCCGAGCGGCCACAGCCGAAGCCCGCGGGGTGCCAAGGTCCCGGGCCCGCACCCCGTTCCTCCCAGCCCGGTGCGCCGGTGCGTGGACGCTGGGCCCAGACGCAGAGCGGCGGCGCCCGGCGGGGGAGGCCGGCCCCGAACCCACGTCCTCTGCCCCCCCCCCGCCCGGCCCGGGCTCAGGGTCCCCTGGGAGCTGGGGCTCCCACACACAGCAGCCGCCAGGGTCAACGGTTTATGTCGTACCAGTGACAACGTACCGGCCGGAGTCGGGCCGTGGGGCCCCGGCCCCGAGGGAGGAAAACACGGGTGTCACAGTCCGGGGAGGACGGGGGCGGGGTGACGGGGTGTGCCGGCTGGCGGTGGTGTGCGGTCCCCCGCCGGGGTCGGGGGGCTTCTCCCCAGCGGCTGGTTTCACTTCAGCCTTGATAGGGGAAGTTGGGGTCCGGCG